TTATGACTACAAAAAATAACATTTTCTGAAATGTCTTGCTGTGTTGTGATAGTCAAACACACTGCTGAATCCTCCTTTTATTTATCTAGTGCTGTGCAATAACAAAGTGCGAGGGTCTATTCTGTGAGTCTAACAGATTAGAGTACTCAAGGAAACAGATCAAAAGGAAGCTTACCTGTCCTCCAGCTGATGTGACAATGAGAAAAGGTACTTTAAACCAGACTAGCTGGGAGGCTCACATGGCAATGTTGAAAGCAAAGTAAGAAGCCCATCCTCAATGTTTATCACCACAAAAAATTCCCAGTAAGTTTCACAATTTCAGCTTTTATCACAGCTGTGAATCTACATACTAGGACATTGAAATGAAGTCTCCTTTACAGTGGAAGACTGCACTAATGTTACACAGCACAGAGAGGTCACAGATACAGAAATTGTTTTTACTCTTGTTATGAAGTATGTGCTGTGTAAGGCTTCCTATGCCACGGATTGGAAATTATGACATCAGGAGACCAGATGCTGTCATCTTTCTTCCTCATAATACCTCCAAGGAAGTGGATTTCACTGCTAACTGCAAGACTTGAGAGTGAGGGTATAGTTGTCAATCTTCCACTCTGCCCCCTATAATAAGCTAAGGGAGTGAAGTGTGGCTGGACAGAGGAGACCTTCTTTTAGACTGGTGGGTGTTGAGAGCATTTCCAACTCTATGCTATGCGCAGGAAGAATAGATTTTACACCCTTCCCCTTCTGCTTGCAAAAATGATGCAAAGAGCTTTTGCTGTAAGTTTTAAAAAACAAACACTAAGAAGTGTCAGCAATGGAGGAAGACCTATGCTATGGGCAATTACAAAAAAAATGGGCTCTTGAAAGTATTTTACTTTCAAATAAAAATTCAAACTGCAATTATGTAAAACAAATCTTCCTCACTCTTTGCCCACGTCTTTCAATATCAAGCAGGACCTGGGATAAATACAAACCCTGAACCAGAAGGATGTTCCACCATGCATAAATCAATGTGGTTCATGCAGATTCAAATGTAATGGGTTTAGCTGAGAGAAAGACAAAGAACCATTTGATGGTTTGATGTGACTTCGGGTCATACCCCTCACGAAGCTGCAGCAGCTCAGTCTTTTCCTCCACCTATCCATAGCATGTTTTCATCTGGTCGCAAACTTGCTTTGCCGTGTCTCCATTCAGAGATGGAGATTAGCCCATATAAAATTTTTGCAAGTCTGAGTTGACAGTGAGGAGGATGAAAGGGAAAGTTTATTTCCTGTAATTTTAAAGTGCTCACAGTTTAGGAATCAGAATAAAATATTTCCACAGTAATGGATGTTAAGCATCAACTGCTAAACATTTTTAAACCCACAGAACTCAAAAAACTGTATTTATTAAAAGTACTCAACTAATACTGTGAACTAGTAATGTTGATTTTAGCAAAGCCTGGAAAGCTAAGGAATTTCAAAAGGACTGGGTGATAGCTGATGCTGTAACAGTATTTTAAGAGTTTAATAGAGTAATCACATAAAATGAATTATGTGCTTTCAAAAATCAATGTTTGATTCACAAGTGCATGCTGATATTAGGAATATTATGAATTTCTGGAATTTCCTTGGTATTGTACAAAATATTAGTCCTAAACAAATTTAAGGCAGCATATATGAAGTGGATTAAAAGTTGGCTTGCTAGAGTAGATACAAGTAAAACAAAAAATTGCATAAAATCCTTGTTGCACGGAGATTCTGCACAGATACTTTTATCCAATGCCAGGCAGCATTTCTACCAACAACCTGCAAGTGACAAATGCTAAAAAAATTTGCAGATGACAGAAATTGATGGAGGTATAGACAGTGAGAAAGAAAAGTCAGCCCTGTAAAATCATTCAAAACAGGTGACAAACCCAGGTTTGCCTGAAGAGTTGTGTTTTAACAGAGATAAGGTCACACATCAAGGATCAGGAATGTAAATAACAGTAGGAAAGCAGTAAATCAAAAAGACTATAACCAACTTCAGAGTAAAACCTACTGGAAAGCAGATGACAGAGGCAAAGGTTAAGAGTGCAAACACAGCTCTTGGCTGGATGAGGAGGAGAATACAGAGAAGAAATCAAGCGATGACATATTAAAAGCACCATTACATTATCGTCTCCATACTGACGACACCGGAAAATACAATTCAGTATTTGTTTTATATTGTGAGACTAAAGAAAATATTGCATTTCTCCTTCAGGAGAGAATGCCTGTTGTACTTTTGTAAGTAACCAACTACATAATGCAGATAACCCCTTAAAATTTTGGAAAGGATAAGTTCAAGTAGCTGAAAGCCAAATGTAATCAAACTCAGGTCAGCAATAAGACATATTACAGCTTCAAAGCAATTCTGGACTAGAATTTTCACTATATATCTGTATTAAAATGTGAATTTTGAGAACTCCAGTAACATATGGTTTGCTTTAGGAGACCGACTGCACTAAAACTAAGCTTTGAAACCTTGTGTTGAAAGAAACACAGCATGCACAGGGCATGGAACAAGTCAGGCACCAAGCACATCTCTGCACTTGGACAAGACTACATGGTCCCTGCTGCTGTTGGTACCACAGCTAACTTCACTAAAATTAGCTTAGTTACTCTCTACACGTCTTAGCTGTAGCATTGGCATGTTGGCATAAAGGGGCACAAGCGGAGGTGATGAAAGAAGATGCTTGTGTATGGGGAAGCTAAGAAAGCAGGAGTTGGGCAGCACAAATCTCAGAGCCACCACAAAACGGTTCCCACCCAAAATCCCACTAAAGCATCCCACAGTGCTCCTGGGCTTCGGCAAGCACTATGTGATCTGTGAGAGGGAGTGAGACCACATCACAAAAGAACTGTAGAGCAAGAAAGTTGCCACAGGTTTCTATATTTAAGAGGGGAAATCTGTTGGGACAGTCTTTTTTTGTCTCTTTGTGTCCTATCTTTTGTGTTAGTGAGTTGTTTATTTTGGAGAGGGGCAGAGAGGTGAACAGAGAAACCATGCGGTCACCAAGATCAGTGAGGAAGAAGGTGGAGGGAAGAAGAGCACTGGGGCAGAGATCTCCCTGAGGCCCATGCTGAGATGGCAGGATGAGGAGACCTTATAGGCTGAGGAGATTGATGGTGGCAAAACATGATGCAGCAGCGCATGGAGGACACCAGGACAGGGGGGAGAGAGACCATTCAAGAGCAAAGGACGTGTCCAAAGAGAACCACGACTCCAAGGAGAACCCATGATGGGGCATAGGTCACTGCAGTCTGCAGGTGGGTCCCACGCTGGTGGGAAGGACTCACATAACCACAGAATGTTCAGGGCTGGAAAGAACCTCTGAAGACTATCCAGTTCAACTCCCCTGCCAGAGCAGGATCACCTACAGTAGGTAACACAGGAACACGTCCAGATGGGTTCTGAATGTCTCCAGAAAAGGAGACTCCACAACCTCCCTGGGCAGCCTGTGCCAGTGCTCTGCACCCTCACAGTGAAAAAATTTTTCCTAATGTTTTTGTACAATCTCCTATGCTCCAGGCTTGCACCCATTGCCCCTTGTCCTGTCATTGGACATCATTGAAAAGAGCCTGGCTCCATCCTCCTGACACTAACCCTTGAGGTATTTATAAACATTTATGAGGTCACCCCTCAGCCTCCTCTTCTCCAAACTAAAGAGACCCAGCTCCTTCAGCCTTTCCTCATAAGGGAGATGTTCCAATCCCTTAATCGCTTTGTGTCTCTGCGCTGGACTCTCTCAAGCAGTTCCCTGTCTCTCTTGAACTGAGGGGCCCAGAACTGGACACAATATTCCAGATGTGGCCTCACCAGGGCAGAGTAGAGGGGCAGGAGGACCTCTCTCGACCTACTAGCTACTCCCCTTCTCATACATCCCAGGATGCCATTGGCCTTCTTGGCCACGAGGGCACATTGCTGGTTCATGGTCATCCTGCTGTCCACCAGAACCCCCAGGTCCCTTTTCCCTACGCTGCTCTCCAGCAGGTCAGTCCCCAACCTATACTGTTACTTGGGGTTGTTCTTTCCCAGATGCAAGACTCTACATGTGCCCTTGACTCAAGTGGAGGAGAAGGAAGACTGTCTCCAGTGAGCTGGACATCACAGAAGAAGACTGCGAGGAGTCCTCTTCCCAAGAAGGAAGGAGCGGCATGGACAGGGTGTAATGGACAGAGTGCAACCCCCCCCTCCCTGCTCCCCTGTGCCACTGGTGAGCAGGAAGCAGCTGAGAGGAAGGGAGAGGTGCAAGCAGGAAAGTATATTTAAGATCTGGCTGGATTTATTTCTCAAACTATCCTAGTTGACTTAGTTAAACTGGGGGTGGCAAATTAAATTTCTTTTCTCCCCAAGTCTATTCTGTTTTTTCCTTGTGACCATAACGAGTGAATGAATCCTCCCTGTCCTTAATCATCTTGATCCCCAAGCCCTATTTTTTAAAGTCTCTCTCCCTGTTCCCCTGTTATCCTCTCCTGGGAGAGTGGTGGTGAAATCAAAGGGAGCGTCTGTCACTTGGTTAGTAGTTAAAACCGCGAAAGGTATGAACTACATCTTTCAAGGTAAATATGGAATATAACATCTCAATGTTTTAGAAAATAATTTAAAGAATAAAACTGTTCAGGACTTCAAATCCTAGAATGATTCTGAACACTGAAGAAAAGTGACTTTATCCTTCTGCACACATCTTAGGGTTGCTAGATGTCTTTCTAATAAACAGTAACTTGAGCTTTTACATTATACCATTTTGGACAAGCTGATTATTTTTAGCACAATAATCTGCATCAGATGTATTCCACAATAATACTTTTTAAACTACTCAGAGTCAAAGCTGGTATTATTCATCACTTGATTTCTTAAAACTTATAAAATCAAAACAAGCCCTAAGGTGGTTCTTTTTTATTCTGGAAGTTGTTTTGGCTTGGGGTTTTTCTCCTAAGTATTAAAATTTTTTTTTAAGTTCCACTGTATTGGAAAACTCAATGAATTATAATCACCTCAATTGCATCGTCGTACATTTTCCTTGCCTCCATGTCCGTCTTGTCTGACATAAGCCAGGCTTTCAATAAATATTCATAAAAACTGTCTCCCAGCCCGCCCACGGATGTGTGATCTGTAG